AATCGTCGTTTTAAACCAAAAAAATTTATTGTTTTCTCTCACATTTGGTACCCATATTGTTATTGAACATGGCACTGATTTTTTTAAATAATTGTTTGAATTAATCATACCTTTAAAATTTTATAAGTCCTTTAAAAAAAAACCCTGACGTCAGATCTTCTTTCGTGTGTTTTGACATTTTTTTTTTGTTGCAGTTCAAAAAATGTTAAACAATCGAATTGTGAAAATTTCAGTGTAAGTTGAAGTCATTTCTCGAGAGCGACGTTCTTTTAATTTAGTAGCAATTTTTGTTTCCGAAAGTGATTTCTGAAAATCTACAAAAACTACTTTTTGTGTGTTTAGAGGGGAAAGTGGACTTTTGGTTTCACAATTTGACAGCAAAATGCGTTACCACTACCACGTCTTCTAAAAAGTATTTATTTATTTGTAAAATCATTCTAAAAAACTATTTGCATGGAGTGATACATAGTTACACAAATCTGCGATTAATTTAAGATTGTCTCCAGTCGATTGTAATTGGCATTTTATTTACGTTAATGTACTGCGATAAATTCTACGACAACTGCGCTTAATGAAGTGGTCGCGCCAAAAATAGCTTCAAATGGCAAAATGCCACATAAATTGACATTTGCAAAGAAATATACCAAATGGGATATAAGCAGTGCAAAGTAAACACTGAAAAGTTCAAAAAAAAAAAGGTAAACAAAAACTAAAATGCTGTGATATGTACATTATAAAGCCGTGAATGCTGTGCTTACCAAAAAATTTTCCGCTACGAGTACTTTTTTGTCTGGTTTTTTTTTTCTTTGCCACTGAAGTATAGCGTGGGGCACAGACTTTAATATTCATTTATATGTTTTATTGTAGTAGTATTATTCCCAAGCATCCATTGACACCTTCGAAATTTCAAAATGTACCCAACCAAGTGATGAGAATGAGCAGAGAAGTATCTGTAAAAAATCATATAAATATGTAAGTAGCAAATATATATGGCATTACCGCAACGTGTATGACATGTTGCAAGAGCCGCAACGACAATCGCGGCAATTTATTTCATTTGGCTCATTACATATGTATGTATGTATATTAGAGTGGTCCAATTTTTGTATGGGAAAAACATTTCATGCTAGAAAACGGGCACCCCCTTAGTTTTTTCTTTTTGATATTTGTAATATCGATACCAACTTTCAATTTTCTACTGTAACCAAGGCAGGGTGTTCAATGACCTTGAAATTCGCTATCGGATCGCTGTGAAAGTGGCAAAAATATTGGTAATTTTGCCATGACAACTGAAGCTTTTGAATTTTTTTAGATAATTTAAATTTGAAAAGATTTTAAATTGATTAACTAATTGTTTGATTAATATATGTACACAATGTTTCTAAAGTAAAATATGAGCATCCAGAGCTTCCCATAAATTTATATGTACTTAGAAGCGTAAAGTTTGGTACCAGCACTTCTTTCGGCAAGAGGAAAAATTTTGGATGGTGCTCCAAACCCTATCTCGGAATTGGTTTTTTTGGACCACTCTAATGTATATAATATGTATGTATTAGAGAGCTGCGCAAATGGTTTTACATACTTTGAGTGTGCCCTATTGCGCAGTATGTTAAATGCAGTAATGAAGCAAATTAACTTGACAGTAAATGAAGTAAAACTCAATGCTTGCTCGCCAGCAAAACAAATACTATAGTGTCGCTGCTAGTTATAGTTACTGAAATGAGCGTGTGCTGTACATTAATTGAGTGTGCTGTCAACGACAGAACTAAAAATGCGCAATATTTTTAGCTTCGTGACAATAGCAGATGATTTTTCATTATTCAGAAATAAAATATAATATGAGTAAAATCTCTTAGATGTTGATGGATTAAAGGGAATGATTAAATTATTTTTTTGTTATTCAGAAAATTAACCTACGTCGTAGATTTTCGGCATTATTTAAGATTTTAAAGCATTTTTAGGTGTTCTTCCCAGTATTTTGCTGGAAACTATTGAGGGAAATCGTGATCTAAAGTTTTTTTTTTGGGATTTTAATGATCTATTGGACATCTAGTGATACTTTTTCGAAATATTGAGAATATTTCGTAATCTATTTCGCGTAGACTTTCTTGCTTTTTCCATTTCTACTAAAAATACATTTCGGAATTTTGAACACTAATTGATCTTTTCGTTGGTTTCTTGTAGGAATTAAATGGAAAAAATTTTTAATGACAAAGTTTGGAATTAAAAAATATTCGTGTCATTACTTTAAAAAATTCATTCATTCCAAATGGCATCTTTTAAATGCTTTAAATTTTTTGTCATTCCAATGCGTAGTAGAAATTCGGCATAAGATTTGTAAGATTTTTTAACTTATCTTAGTAAATGTGTTTTGTCCAAATATTTCATATTAAATTATTTTAAATATTAAAATACCCGGGTAGACCCGCCATTGCCAGTATACTCGGAAAAAGTTAAATTTAAGACAATCCTACATATCCGAATTTTCTCTACCGTAGGCTGAATATTTAGTGTACAGTGACTCACACAAGTTTCGCTTTTTTTTTTTTAAATTTTCACAACGTTTTTCAAAAACATTGTCGAAGCTTTAGCCAAAACCATATAAGTCAGAGTTTCAAACTTTATACAAAATTTAGGAAAATTCATCAAAATTTCGAGCTTTTTTATCTGCATCATTTGAGAATTTCTGGGTATGCAGTTTTAAAGCCCATACAATTTTAGTGTCATGAAGTGTAAGTTTCAAGCGTCTCAAAAGTCGCGTTGATTTTAAATATTTTTTTGTTGACGGATTTTTGCACTCTTTTCATATACATATGGATTTCTTATGAAATAAAATGCGGGAACCCTTCGAATTGCACTTCTTATGTAAAGAAAAAAACGAAAAAGTAGTCTCAAAAAACAAAAACTTATTAAAAATCAACGATAATTTTTGGACACTTGAAACTTGCACTTCATGAGATTAAAATTATACCCAGAAATGTTCTAAAAATTCAGATTAATTAGCTCGAAATTTTGATGAATTTTCGAAAATTTTGTATAAAGTTTGAAACTCTAAGCTAAAGCTTAGACAATATTTTTTTAGAAAAATAACAAAAATAATTAGTAATTGTGAATATTAAAAAAAAATCAACACATGAACACTTGTGTGAGTCACAGTATATAATATACAGCCGATTCCAAGGGTAATAGCAACTATATAAAGTATTTTTTCGGCACATTTTTACCGCACAACATGCGCTTCTTTCAGTGGGAGAAATATTTTTACACATCTTACCCGGGTTGCCGGATAATTAAAATACCCTTGTACCCGACACCCTTACTACCGCGGTATCATGGCGCCAACCTTGTTATCTTTTATAATTTTATAACAGGTGGCAAACATGTTTCGATTAATTTTCCCGAATAATTTTTTTCGTTGAAAGATTCGTTAATTAATTTGAACCACTCTTACACATATTATACTCATACTTCTAAATGATAATCACACGATTGTTTGGGTAATTCGTTGCTGAGTTTAGGTAACATAGACAAAGGTGTTTACTGCATTCGTTGCATTGCTCACTGTTTATCAAAATCAATACAGTAGTCGACAGTAGACAGTACATGGAGTAGTGCTTGATCTTTCATCGAAGCAATGTTTCGATTCACTCTTAGCAGTAGTCCATTCAAATATGCCGCCGACAGTATTTGAAAGTTGTGAGGTAAGTGAGTGAAATGAAGTATAGCGAACATAAGCAAATGTTTTGAGCACACTTTTAAACACATTTATGCAGCACTCTAGTATGTATGCAAGTGTGTGTGTTGAAAGCATCAGGTGCACTTTTGCGACGCTGCTGTTTAGCATACGTTCGACGGTGCGCCAGTCAGCCACATTCATACGTATCTACACACATTTTCAAAGCAAGATGTGTGGTGTGAAATATGACACGTTGTTGCTGTTGCATCACATTCGCTGCAAGTCTAATGTTGGCACTTTTTCAGTATTTCTTGTGCATCTCATACGGCTACTGTGCCGCCGGTGGAAGCTGTAAACTTTTTTTCTATACGAAATTTGAGAATCTTATTTCGGGCTCAGCTTGGGTTTCCGTCATTTACCAAGCACACATGCGTTTTTTATTGATTTTTTATTGTTGTTGTTACTACTAGTATGCAACTAGCTATAGGGTTAGGTTGCATTAAAAAAAAAATACTTATGGGTGTGAGCTTGTGTACCAAATGTGGCAAGTTGTTCTTACGTGTATAGCTTGCAAAAAATATAAAATTTTCATTCGGGAAAAATAAATCGTTAATGACAATATTTTATATTTTTGTATACAAGTGTATGAGAGCGTCTAATAATAAGTACATACATATATTTTCCTTTCATTCTCAGCTGTTCTTATACCCACATATTTTATTTTATTTTTTTCTTTTGCAGAAAGAGACCCCATCCGATGTGTTGTTGCATTTGGCAGCACTGCGTGGCGATGAAATCAACCTGCGGCGCGTACTTGACAGCGGCAAAGTGCATGTGGATTGTAAAGATGAGGTATGTGCATATGTAAATATATAAATTTGTATGCATATAAATATGCTTTTGTTGTAAGTAGGTTGCATGTGTTTTCTGTAAATCTTGCTGCTCATTCATCGTTCGGTGAGTGGCATTTACTTTTTATGCGTTGTGAGCAAAGTTTTTGTTGCCGTACGCTCACCCTTTGGCATTTATGTATGTAGATCAGTGTTGCCAAACATGGGCTTTTCCTACCAAAACTGGTAGGTTTTTTTTTTGCATTTGGTAGGTTGGTAGGCTTGATTGGATTTTGGTAGGTTTCGGGACAATCAGTAATAGTTATTTGCGAAAAATAGAAAATATATACGTATCTCCAAATATTTTAGCAACCTTTCTTACACAAATATTTCACCGGTGCGTTCGTATAATGCGGCCACAAGCATTTAAATATACCTGATTCCTAATTACAAACGTATACCTTATTATTGCCAATATGCAATACGGACATCCATACATATATCGTCACCTAAGGGTGAAAAGGTGCCAAGTCCATTTTTTTTTAACTTTTTCAGGAGAGACGAAAAATCGATGTTGTTTCGTATTACCTGCCATTCTGCCTCAAAAACTAAACTTTGAAAAAAAAAAATGGACTTGGCACCTTTTCACCTTTAGGTAGCGATATAATTTATGGCGTACTTGGGCCAAGATTCCAGAAAAGTCTGCCAATGGGCTCGTACTCAACCATATTTCAGGCGGAAGTCTTCCCAATCGAAGTCTGTGTTCGCGAATGCCATCGTAGAAGGCAAATGAGGCCAGAATAAATATTATGTCGGATATTCAGGCAGCGTTAAAGGCCTTAGAGTCTTTTAAAATGGCATGAAGGCTTGTAAACTCTTCACGTCACGTCAGCGTCATATTCTGTTTGAAGGCAACGAAAGGACTGACTGTCTCGCAAAGCGTGAAGCCCAAATGCGTTTGCATCATGATTCAATAATACAAGGTTAGATAATTATTGACAGCTGCGGTTTGACACTCCCTTACAAAAGGTTGCATTTACGAAGGACAGAGAAAGGGCAAGAATGCAATCCCTTGCTTCGAAAATGGTAGTAGAAAAGTAAGCAAAGTAGGCAATTAGTAGTGAAATTCCTTTCGTAAATTCTAATGTATTTGCAGGAAATCTGGCATTTTAAACGAAATGTTGAACGTAATATTGATATATCTACGTGAATTACGTAATTTATATGCTACTGAGCCGTATAAAAACTGCAAAATGACTCAAAATTAAAATAAGACTACTATGAGACTGATGTAAACATCCAATGCTTATGTTTTCATCAGTTAAATATGCTTCATATGCATATACAAATAAAGATATTGCACAAAAGCTTATACTTTTATTTCACACCAAAGCTACACTGTTTCCATGTAAATTTGCAAAGAAGCAACACGGTGTCACTGCTAAGGGAGCGGTGCGAGAGAGACAACTGTCAGTTTATCGAACCTTGTATTATTGAATCATGCGTTTGCATGGTCCCTAGACTTTCTGTGGTACA